CCATCATTACTTCTACTTCTACCATCACAATTGATGCAAATAAAATTTAATTGAAAAAACTATCAGGTTTTTTTTTTTCATTTAATTTCACTAGTGAAATATTAACTAATGTATTCACTTTGCTAAACTGATTAAAAATTGAGCTCTGTGTGTTAAAATTTCTGTTTACATGTCTGTTAGCTCTTTAGACCCTGAGCTTCCTCAGGGTAAGTGTTGTCCTAGGCACGTTTTTAAGAAGATTAATAAATTATTTTCACTAGATTCAGTTGTTAAGGAGCTCTGGTGGCATAGTGCCTAAGGCATTTGACTGCTAACTAGAAGGTTTGCAGTTCAAACCCAGCAGTCAATCTGTGGAAGGCAGACTGGGCAATCTACTTTCATAAAGATTTACCGCCTTGGAAACCCAAAGGAGGTTGCTATGAGTTGGAATCAACTTGATGGCAGTGAGTTTGGTTTAGTTTTTGGTAGATTCAGTTGTTAAAAAATGTAGATAAGAATAGATGTACTCATATTACACAAAAACATTGTTCCACATGCTACTTTGTTGAGTAGCAACTGAGATCTTGAAAGCTTACAAGCAGCCATCTAAATGCAATGATGGGTTTCTCCTCATCCAGAGCAAACAAGAATGAAGAAAACCAAAGACGCATGGAAACAATCAGTCCAAGGGACTGGTAGACCATGTGACCCTCAGCCTATATGATTATGAGCCCAGAAGAGCTAGATGGTGCCCAGCTATCACTGTCAACCACTTAGAGGGGGATCTTTGTAGGAGATCCTGGATAGAGTGGAAGAACAATGTGGAACAAAACTCAAAATCATTGGCAGGGGGTGGGGGGAAGACCAGGTTTGCTGGTCAGGTAGAGCCTGGTGAAACCCCTGAGACTATGGCCCCTAGCTGTCCTTCAGATCTGGAATTGAACCCACTCCTGTGGCTTCCACCCAAACAAAAGATAAGCCTATGAGCTGAACATTTACATTAGGTAGATACACGCCTTGGACAGATCAATTGTGGGAGAATAGAAGGACAGAGTGTATGCACAGGGAGACAGCTCAGGGGGGACAGTGCATGGGAGGGAAGGACACAGGGAAGAGGTCACAAAGGGGAGGAAGTGGGGAGAGAGCTGTTGCACTGTGGGAAATTCCAGTCAATGTCATGAGACAAAATGTGTATGAACTGCTATATGGAAAATGAATTTGCTCTGTAAACTTTCTGTAATCTTTTGGTTTGTTACTCTGTCCTATAGGGTTGCCCAAATCAGAATAAAAATTATATATATATAAAAAAAAAGTACCAAGAAAGAGACACTGTTGGCTTTGGGGAATTTGAACAGATCTAAAACATAAGATTATCAAACACACACACACACACACCCTTCCCCCCAGGATTTCATGGAATTGAAAAGTTACAGGTTTATTTTTTTTCTTTCTGTTTTTTATGTTACTTTGTTGTTGTTGTTGTTATGTGCCATCGAGTCGGCCCCGACTCATAGCGACCCCTCCTTGGGTTTCCGAGGCAGTATCACTACGGAAGTAGGATCGCCCAACCTTCCTTCCGAGGAGTGGCTGGTGGGTCTGAACCGCCAGCCGTCTGGTTAGCAGGCAAGTGTCTTAGCCACTATGCTACCAGAGATCCTTTTATGTTACTATTTTCATGTATTAAACTATGGCATTTTATGTTTTAATTCTACTAGCTAATAAAAACACCTGGCTTACTGGTCTGTCAGAGACTGGAAGAACCCTTGAAACTATGGTCCTACGACACCTATCAAGCTTGGAACCAACTCACCCCTGTGGCTCAACTCTCAGCCAAACAATAGGCCTATAAGGTGAATAATACACCAGGAGGTATAGGCCTTTGAACAACCAACAGCAGGAGATGAAAACGGCAGTGTTTGTCTAGGGATACAGCTCAGAAGGCAGGAAGGGATAAGAAAGAAGGATGAATGTAACGGTAAACGGGGAGGAAGTGGGAGGAGTGCTGTTACCTTGTGGGGATTGTAATTGGTATAACAAAATATGTATGAATTGTTGAATACAAAACCAATTTCCACTCAAATAACAGTAAAACATTTTTTTAAATAATAATAATAATAAAATAATAGATATCCTCAGAAATACCCAACATATAAAGGTTATGCATGTGTTGCTAAATGGATTTGGGAAAGGTGTGAGCTGTAATTATTCGATTTCTTGTTAACTAAAAGGTCTGCAAGCTTTTTACTCAGTAGTTCTAAACCAATTTATTAAAAAATCCATTCTACTAAGATCCAACAAGACTAAAGTATTCTAATGTAGTGATATGTACAAGTATAGTTCTAGCATGGTGTAAGTGGTACCAGGCATAGTTTGATCATACTCTCTTAAGCTCTTTTTGCTATGAAACCATGATTACTTGGAAACTTCTATTAGTCTAAATCCAGGGTTGAGAAAGTTTTTCTTAAAGGGTCAGATAGTAGATATTTTAGGCTTGCATGCCATATAGTCTCTGTCACAACAACTCAACTCTGCCATTGTATCACAGTCTGACAATGTGTAAACGAACAGGCATGGGATCCAATAAAACTATAAAAGCAGGTGGCCTGCTTGGGGGCTTTTGTCAACTCCTAGTCTACGTGGTGAACCATATTACTTTCTTTATAAAGAGGAGAAAATGGGATGACCAGCAATATTCCAGTCTTTTTAGTAGTTACACTGTCAATTAATTCACGAACAGAATGTCAAACACCCAATTGTGGTATGATCAGTGTGAATCACTCAATACAGTGTGAATGGACAGAATTCAACATTGCAGACATTAATCCACATGGTGACTGCATTAGGCCCAAGGTAGACAGCCAGAATGCCCTCATCTATGATGTACTTAAGTATGTATGGCTGTAACTGAGCATGCATTTTAAGAACTGTAAGTACCAAAACGTCACCATACTGGTACCATTAAAAAAAATTGGCAGTGTTTAGAACGAAAATTGAGGGGAGTAACATTCTGACAATCATTCAATAAAAGTCCCTCAAGTGTAACCACTTAGAATTCAATGACATGTTTAGAAAGAAAGATACTAGGTATAAGAAATGGCAAAACAAACTTTGGGCAAAAAGCAGCTTCAATAGACATCTAGTGCCTCTGTAACAGAAATACCACAAATGGGTAGCTGTAACAGAGATTTATTCTCTTAAAGTTTAGTAAGCTGGAAGTCTGAGTTCAAAGTGCCAGCTCTGGAGGCTGAGTGAAATCCCCTTGACCCTGGGCTTCAGCTCTGCCTCTTCCTCCCGGCCCACTGGATCTAGAGGCGTCTCTTAGCTCAGGCAGCTGTTGGCTGCTAAGGCTGACAAACCCAAGGTTGATAAGTAAAATTGCACAGTCCCAAAATTATCAAGCAAAATGTCAGACCACTAATTCAAGACCATTAATAGTCCCAAGATTGGCAGATAACCTGACAGGACATTGAGATGAAGACTTGGCTATGTGCAGCATCCAACTGTCCCAAAAAGCTCAGAGACCTTTCTCAAAGCTGTCTCCTTATATACTGGAAGCAGACCATATCCTTAAGGCAGCTACTCAGCTGCTCCAGTAGATTCCACCATAGAGTTAATTACCTATCTCGTCATGGGGAATAACTACATCCAGCTGCCCAGCCACTCAAAACCAGGCCCAGGCAAGTTGACACACACCTTAACTACCACAAATAGTAATTAGAATACTAAAAGACTAAAGGGTGAAGCAAAATATGAGGACATTAATGTAACTGGTATTTCAGTTTAGTGGAAGGTATATAAGGTAAGAGGTTAGCTGACACACTGTAGCTAAGAGTCACATTAATTAGTCAACAGTCTGCAGAAATGAAACAAAAAAAACAAAACATTTAGTTTAAGTTTTAGGAATACTCTGAATGTAATTAAATTAATCTAAGCAGTGAATGGAACATAATTCTTGATGAAATCAATGGTAGTCTGATAAATGGCTTGATCAGGTGGAATTGAAAGTGTCAGGATAAATGGCTTAAGTGGAGATGAAGGAGCTCTGGTGGCATAGGCTGCTAAGCAGGTCAGCGGTTCAAACCCACCAGCCATGCCACAGAAGGAAGAGAGGGCAATCTACTTCCATAAAGATTTACAGTCTTGGAAACCCAATGGGGTTGCTATGAGTTAGAAGCAACTTGAGGGCATTGAGTTTGGTTTTCTGGTTTTAGGTGAAGATGTCACGATAAATGATTTGATTATTGTTACATGCCATCGAGTCAGACCCGACTCATAGTGACCCCTCCTTGGGTTTCCAATGCGGTATCACTACGCAAGTAGAATGCCCAACCTTCCGAGGAGTGGCTGGTGGGTTTAAATTGCCAGCCTTCTGGGTAGCAGTCAAATGTCTTAGGCACTACACTACCAGAGCTCGCATGGTTTGATTAGGTAGAGATAAGAATATGTCCAGAGAGCACCTCCCATTTAAAGAACTTACTACATGTCTGAAACTTTACATGCATTACTTCATTTAATCCTCACAACTCTTAGAAGGAAGTATTTTTTGATAAGAAAACTAAAACTTAGAGATGTTAACTTGCCTTAAGTCATACAGTAAGGGGTACAGCTGTGATTCAAACACAGACCAGGACACAACTGGTGCTCTTTAACAACTCAGATCTTTTATGTGGACATTCTATAGAACTGTGTAATATTCTAAACAATGTGTTATAAAAAATGTTCCATGGGCAAATCTGTTGGGAAATTGTACTCTAGGACTTCTTAGTTTTTATTACATAAGACCTAAGAAAATAGCATGTGGCCAGGGTAGCTTTTCCAGATCATCTCTTAATCTTGTTCCTCCTCTAACTGCACAGGGTGAATAACTAATGGAGAAAAATACTTCCAGTATATGGATTATATGTGGTGGTGGTTGTTGTCAGGTGTCATCGAGTCAGCTCCAAGTCATAGTGACCCTATCTATGTACAACAGAAGGAAACACTGCCTGGTCCTATGCCAGCCTCATAATGCTTGCGATGCTTATGGTAAGAGTATGTAATTAGGGTGCTCAAAATGCCTAGATTTAATGAAGAGAGTCAGGATTTAAAAATAAATGTTTATTTGTAACAATAATTAAATACATTTTTTATATTAAAATTAAAGAAATACATTGGATAACAGTTGTAGTAAAGAATGTACTTATAAGAGTGGGGCTAAAAGCTGTTTCTCTTCCCTCGGAACCACCGCCTCATAAAAGATCTTAGCTGTAAACAAGTAGAAGGATGATGCAATCTCTGACATTAGAACTGGGTAAACCACATTAGGTGTGTTCCGTGAACAGCTTGCCAAGTATTTGCCCAGTCTATTATAGCTACTGAGCAAATGGGTTGGCATGAATAGTTATGTCCTTAATGTGTACATCATTAAGAGGTCGGTATGTCTTCTCATTTACTGGTAACTTCTCCAATTCATCTAGGGTCTCCAGACCATCTATTACCCTGAAAGAGAAGCAATATGTGAAAATTACCTCAGACAGAAACATAATATTCAAATATCGATAGCAATTACAGCCTCCTAAGACAAAAGCATCATGTCTTACAGTTCTTTGGATTCCAAAAGATATTGATTTGAATTTCAACCACAGATATTGGTCAAAATTCAGAAATAAAAGTTCACTATTATACCCTTCGTCAATAACTGCAGTTGGTAAGAATAGTACCATCAAAGTAACTAAACACTACATTATGCCCCATTCACACAGGCACATGGAATAGCTACAAATGGGGCCAATTTAACTTTATTTGCTATAGGAAATGCCCAGAGAATATATGTAAGGAAGACACTATTATTATCAGTATTGTACTACACTGAAGGTCCTGAAGTGGGAGGCCACTTTATACTTTGTCGTTAAGATATGGTACTTCTACTTTTTGCTATTGGAAAATAACAAGCAGTAATAATAAAAATAGTAGAAGAGAAGATTGTCAGTTAACTCAGCCTCTGACAAGCCCACTTCATGTTTCCATAAGGAGGAAATTGAGAGCTGTCCTTCAAATACATGTTTTGGAAAGTTGTGTGTAAAACATTTGCTAGGAAAATGTGGCTTTTTATATTGTACCTCTTAGTGCAATACAAATAAACCCCCAAGATTTACAGTATCTACTTAAATGAAAAGATAACTGATTTATATCTTGTTTTGCCTTTTCATTGAAATGGTACTTTAAAACAGGATATAGGAAATAATGGGTATCAGAAACAGTAACTACAATAATTAAAACTTTCTGATTTTACTGTTAAATGCTGGACAACTAGTCTTTACATTTTAATCCTACCTTCTAGCTAAGGGTTGGGAGCTCTGGTAGCATAGTGCCTAAGGCACTTGACTGCTAACCAGAAGGCTGGCGGTTCAAACCCACCAGCCACTCCTCGGAAGGAAGATGGGGCAATCTACTTCCATAGTGATACTGTCTCGGAAACCCAAGGAGGGGTCGCTCTGAGTCGGGTCTGACTTGACGGCACATAACAACAACAACAGTTAAGGGTTAGTCCAATCAAGTAACTGGAACTTGGGGCCCTTTGAGAACCTGAGGAAAGCTATGGACCATCTTTCCAAAAAATGTGTGTGGTTACATACAACACTGCAACCAATTTCAAGGACTTAAGGATCTAAGTTTAAGAATACTTGTTCTCAACTCTTCAGTTCTGTCACAAATCCAGTAAGTTTAGCTAATTATGGATCAGTAGTTCTGAATGATGGGTTAAGGGAGAAAAAAGGAAGGAAATCTGGATTATCTAAAACACACAGAGATTAACAGATGGTGTAATATTTCATTAATTACTAGTATCTATAAATTTGACACATGTATATGGGATGAAAAATAAAAGTTGTAGTCTTCTATGTTTTAATTAGCCTAACTTTGCAGTCCACACTGTTAAATAAAACAAATTCTAGAACAATGCCTTGGTGTACTGAGCAAGGTAAATATTGTTGAATGAACAGGTGGTTTCCCCTGATTTATAATCTAGCAAGGAATGGACATCTAGGCAGAGGCCACTAAATGTCTCCCCTGAGATCCAATCTCTCCTTTTCACTCACAGAAACCTGATTTTATTATGGGTGGCAATGTGTCCAGCTGAAAAGATACTTCCTTGCTGCCTTTGTAGGTAGGTGGTGGCCACATGAGTAAGTTCTGAGTCTCCCAGGGAAGGTGACTCACTGGCAAGCACCTTTGTTGTTCTTCTACCTGGAACACAGATGGTTTGTTCTGACTTGTGATGCCCATATTATGACCATGAAGTAAGCTTGGATGGAAACTAAAGATGGTTGAGAAGAAAGACAGAGGTGCCTGGGATATTGATGCCAAGATGGAACCACACCATAGCAGTCCTGGACACCATCTTGCCTAAGCCTCTGTTTTTCAGATCTGTAAATTATAGCCAGGTACTATTTGTATTGAAATCAGATGGATTATTGTTAACCTGCATAAGAAACCTGAAAAAAAAAATATTAACTCTCTTTTTACAAATAAGGAAAAAGGAGTTTCAGAGAAGTTACATTTTTCCTAAGATCACAAGGCTGGTATGTGGGGAATTTCAACTCCAGGTACATTTAGCTCTCACAATGCTCTTTGCAGTATTAGTTAGGCTACTACCACAACCACTCAGATGCATTGCTTGGACTGAAATTCCAAGGAGAAAAATAACAACCAAAATACTCACTTTCCAAATACTGTGTACTTCATGTCCAAATGTGGCTGCTTGCCATAAGTGATGAAGAACTGGGATCCATTTGTGTTTGGGCCATTATTGGCCATGGATACAACACCTCTAACACTGTGCTGAAAAAGACCAAAAGATTAATTCAGCTGTTTATATAAAATTTTCCCAAATACAGAACTGAAATAAGACACACATTCTTTGTTCTTGTTGTTAGGTGCCATTGAATTGGTTCCAACTCATGGTGCCTTATGTAAAACAGAACTAAACATTGTTAGGTGCCATTGACTTGGTTCCAACTCACAGTGCCTTATGCAAAACAGAACTAAACACTGCTTGGCCCTGTACCATTCTCATCATCATGGCTATGTTTGAGTCCATTCTTGCAGCCACTGTGTCAATCCACCTTGTTGAAGATCATCTTCTTTTCCCCTCACTCTCTACTTTACTAAGGAGCTCTGGTGATATAGTGGTTAAGGCATCTGGCCACTAATCAAAAAGTCAGTGGTTTGAACCATCCAGCTGCTCTGTGCAAGAAAGATGAGGCAGTCCAATCCCATAAAGATTTACAGGCTTGTAAACTGAATGGAGGATGCTATGAGTTGGAATTAACTGGATGGCACTGAGTCTGGTTTTTTTTTATTTTGGTTTTCTATTTTACCAAGCATGATGTCCTTCTCCAGGACACGTCCAGTATGTAAGATAAAATCTTGTCATCCTTGATCCATTCTCAGGAGCATTCTTTCTGGCTGTACTTCTTCCAAAATGGATTTATTCTTCTGTCAGTCCATGGTATATTTAATATAATTCACCAACACCACATTTCAAAAGCATCAATTCTACTTCAGTCTTCCTTATTCACTCTCCAGCTTTCACATACATCTGAGGTGACTGGAAATACCATCACTTGGGTCAGGTGCACCTTCAGAGCAACATCTTTGTGTTTTAACACATTAAAGAGGTCTTTTTTTTTCCTTTCTTTTTATTGTGATTTGGGTGAAAATTTACAGAGCAAATTTCACTTTCCATACAGCAGTTCACATACACTTTGTCTCATGATATTGACTACAATTTACCACAATGCAACAGCTCCCCTCCCACTTCCTCCTGATAGTTATCTCTTCCCTGTGTCCATCCCTCCATGCACTCCTGCCCCCTGAGCTGTCTTCCTGTGCATAAGCAGCCCTTCTTTCTCCCATGACTGTTCTCTCCAAGGAGTGTATCTACTTGAGGTAAATGTTCAACACATATGCCTGTCTTTTCTTTGGCTGGAAGCCACGGGTATGGTTCAATTCCAGACCGGAAGGGCAGCTAGGAACTGTATTCTAAGTGGTTCCACCAGGCTCTATCAGACCAGCAAGTCTGGTCTTCTTTTTTTTTTCCCAAGTGATTTTGAGTTTTGTTCCACATTGTTCTCCCTCTCTATCCAGGATCTCCTACATGGATCCTCTTCTAAGAACACTCCTGTACATGTCTCCTGGTACACGTCTAAGAGTTTCTCTAGGGTAACCTTTAGGAATGAAATTGCTGGGTTACACAGTATGGTGAATATTCAGTATACATACTTAGTGTATAAGGCAATGGTTCTTAACTGTGGCTGCACTGTAATTACCCAAGGAACCTTAAAATATAGTCAAGCTCCTACTGATTATTTTTCTCTATTTTTAGGGAATGCGGTCAGGTGAGACGTGTGTGGGCTTGGTGCCATCAAGTCAGTTCCTACTCATGATGACCCAAGTACAACAGAAAGAAACACTGCCCGGTCCTGCACCATCCTCACTCTTCATGAGCCCATTGTTGCAGTCACTGCTTCAACCGTTGCAGTCACTGCTTCAATCCATCTCATTGAGCGTCCTTCCCTTTTCTGCTCACTTTTTACTTTACCAAGCATGATATCCTTCTCTAGGGACTGGTTTCTTCTGATAACGTGACCAAAATATGAGAGACATAAAGCAGGCCATCTCACTTCTAAGAGCTTTCTGGCTACACTTCTTCCAAGACAAATTTGTTTCTTCTTTTTTTGTTAATACTCTTTGCCAACAACACAATTCAAATGCATCAATTCTTCAGTCTTCCTTATTCATTGTCCAGCTTTCACATGTCTATGAGGCAACTGAAAAGACTATGGCTTGGGGGAAAAAAAAGACCATGGCTTGGGTTAGGTGCATCTTATGTCTTCAAAGCAACATTTTTGCTCCTTAACACTTCAAAGAGATCTTTTGCAACAGATCTACATAGTACAATACATCATTTATTTCTTTACTGTTGTTTCTGTGGGCACTGATTGTAGATCAAGTAAAACGAAATCCCTGACAACTTCAATCTTTTGTCCATTTATTTTGATGTTGCTTATTGGTCCACTTATGAGGATTTTAGTTTAATGTTGAGGTATAATCTATACTAAAGGCTGTATGTCTTTTATTTTCATCAGTAAGTGCTTCAAGTCGTCTTTACTTTCAGCAAGCAAGGTTGTGTCATCTGCATATCACAGTTTGTTAATGAGTCTTCCTCCAGCCCTGATAGCACATTCTTCTTTGTATAGTGTAGCTTCTTGGGTTATTTACTCAGCATATAGGTTTAATAAGTACGGTGAAAGGATGACCCTGACACACACCTTTTCTGATTTTAAACCATGCAGTATCCCCTTGTTCTATTTGAACAACTGCTGCTTGGTCTATGTATAGGTTCCTCATGAGCACAATGAACTTTTCCGGACTTCCCATTCTTTGCAATGTCATCCATAATTTGTTATGATCCACACAGTCAAATGCCTTTGCATAGGCAATAAAACACAGGTAAATATCTTTCTGGTATTCTCTGCTTTCACCTAATATTCATCTGACATCAGCAGTGATATCCCTCACTCCACATCTTCTTCTGAATCCAGCTTAAATTTCTGGCAGTTCCTTGTCAGTATACTGCTGCAACTGTTTTTGAATTATCTTCAGCAAAATTTTACTTGCGTGTGCTATTGATATTGTTCTATAATTTCAGCATACCATTGGATCACTTTTCTTTGGAATGGGCACAAATACGGATTTCTTCCAGCAGGTTGGCCAAGTACCTGGCTTCCACATTTCTTGGCATAAACAACTTAGAGCTTACAGTATTGCGTCCATTTGTTGAAACATCTCAGTGGGTATTCCATTAATTCCTGGAGCCCTGTTTTTCACCAATTCCTTTGGTGTAGCTTGAACTTCTTTTCTTAATATCATCAGTTCTTGATCATATGCTACCTCCTAAAGTGGTTGAACGCTGATCAAATTCTTTTGGTACAGTTACTCTGTGAATTCCTTCCATCTTCTTTTGATGCTTCCTGCATTGATATTTTACCCATAGAATCCTTCAATACTGCAACTTGAGGCTTAAATGTTTTCTTCAGTACTTTTACCTTGAGAAATGCTGAGCATATTCTTCCTTTTGGTTTTCTAACTCCAGGTCTTTGCACATTTCCTTATAATATTTTACTGTCTTCTCAAGCTGCCCTTTGAAATCTTCTGTTCAGCCCTTTTAAGTCATCATTTCTTCCATTCACTTTAGCTACTCTCTGTTCAAGAACAAGTTTCAGAGTCTCTTCTGACACCCATTTTGGTCTTTTCTTCCTTTCCTATCTTTTTAACAAACCCCTTGCTTTCTTCATGGATGATGTCCTTGATGTCATCCCATAACTCAACTGCAATGATGTTCAATGCATCAAATCTATTCTCAATACGGTGTCCAAATTCAGATTAGATATACTCAAGATCATATTTTGGTTCTTGTGGACTTGTTTTAATTTTCTTTAGCTTAAACTTCAACTTGCATACGAGCAATTGATAGTCTGTCCCACTGTTGGCCATTGGCCTTGTTCTGACTGATGATATTGAATTTCCCCATTGTCTCTTTCCACAGATGAATTTGATTTGATTCCTGTGTAATCTGTCTGGCAAGGCCACAATTTATGTTGTTGAAAAAAGGTATCTTCAATGAATAAGTCGTTGGCCTTGTGAAATTGTATTATGCTATCTCCAGTGTCATTTCTATCACCAAGGCCATATTTTCCAACTACTAATGCTTCTTCTTTGTTTCCAGTTTTCTAATTCCAATCACCACTAATTATTAATGCATCTTGATTGCATGATTGGTCAATTTCAGACTGTAGAAGTTGGTAAAAATCTTCAATTTCTTTATCTTTGGCTTTAATGGTTGGTATTTAAATTTGAATAGTAGTAGTATTCATTGGTCTTCCTTGTCCACCATTCACTGCTGTGGAGTCAGATCTGACTCATAGAGACCCCTCCTTGGTTTTCTGAGGCATTATCAGTATGGAAGTAGATTACCCAACCTTCCTTCCAAGTGGCTGGTGGGTTTGAACCACCAGCCTTCTGGTTAGCAGTCAGATGTCTTAGGCATTATGCCACCACCTTATAGATGTGTGGATATTATCTTATCACTGATGGCACTGGATTTCAGGAAAGATACTGAAATATTGCTTTTGATGATGAATGTGACACCATTCCTCTTCATTTGTCATTCCTGGAATAGAGACCGTATATGATTGTCCAATCCAAAATGACCAATACCAGTCCATTTCAACTCACTAATGCCTAGGACACTGATCTTTATGCATTCCATTTCATTTTCGACAACTTTCCAATTTTCCTAGATTGATATTTCATACACTCCACGTTCTAATTATTAATGAATGTTTGCAGCTGTTCTTCTCATTTTGTATTGTGCCTCATCAGCAATTGAAGGTCCTCAAAGTTTTACTCCATCCACTTCATTAAAGTCAACTCTACTTTGAGGAGGAAGGACTTCCTTGTTATTCATAAGGTTTTCAGTTGCCAGTTTTTTTTAAAAGTGGACCGCCATGTCTTTTTTCCTAGTCTTAGTGTGGAAGCTCTACTGAAACCTGTCCTCCATGGGTGACTTTGCTGGTATTTGAAATACTGGTGGTACAGCTTCTAGGACCCCCACAACACACAAGCTACCACAGTACAACAAACTGGCAGACAAGTAGTGGAGGGTGAGACAACACCTTGATTTTCTATATTTTTAAAACTTCCAGAGGACTCTGTCATAACCAAGATTGAAAACTACTGGTACAGGATGATAGATTAGTGTTATTGGATCAGTCATTAATTCATGCCTAAAAAAATGGTTTAGTTTCTAATTTAGGAAAAGGATGGCTTTTAAAAAAGCCTATTACCTCCCAACCAAAGCTCCTGTAACAGATATAATATTTTCTTAGGATAAAAAATAAGATATTTTTGAAGATAAAATAAACTACCCCTAGCCCCAACATCTAGAGACTAATACCATAGTCATTTTTTTTTCCTTCAGCATTTTTGCTGGATGTATTTTAATGTAACAAATATAACATAATAAATTATATATTCTGACTGATGTGAATTTGTCTTTTCTAATTATTTTTACACAGATATAAAATGTGAAAGACCACACAATAAACTGTTACCTGAAGTTATGTCTGGGAAGTAGAACTGACTTATTTTTATAGACATGCACTAGTTTCTTAATTTTGTTGTTATGTGCTGTGGAGTCATCTCTGACTCATAGTGACCCCTCCTTGGGTTTCCGAGGCAGTATAGGAGCTCTGGTAGCATAGTGCCTAAGGCACTTGACTGCTAACCAGAAGGCTGGCGGTTCAAATCCACCAGCCACTCCTCGGAAGGAAGATGGGGCAATCTACTTCCGTAGTGATACTGCCTCGAAAACCCAAGGAGGGGTCACTATGAGTTGGGGCCAACTCGAGGGCACATAACAACAACAACAATCACTAAGGAAGTAGATTGCCCAACTTTCCTTCCGAGGAGTGGCTGGTGGGTTTGAACCGCCAGCCTTCTGGTTAGCAGTCAAGTGTCTTCTTTAGAAAGTGTGAAAAATAGGAAAAAAAATATAGCAAAGGAAATAAAAATTATAGACTTTACCAAGGTGAAGACTGATTTATATATACTTTTCTTAAGTATATATAATCTCTAATTGAGATCTACTATAGGGATTACGTTTAAACATGTAACAGAAGATGATAAAACTGGGGCTTGGTGATGGGTGGTATCTCCAAGCAGGAGGTTTGACAGTCTATCCTCTCCACTTTCAGAAAAAGGTCTTTATATTACTAACTCAACATTTGAGGTTGGACCTAAAAATGAGTTCATTTAATATCAAGATCTATGTGATGATGAGATTCTAATGTGTATGCCTGGCTCTAACTGCCATTTATATTTTCTCTCCAATATAATTTACCAAGTGTGCAAACACTATTACAAAAAATTTGTGTGTATATATTGTTGTTGTTGTTGTTATGTGCTGTTGTCAAACCTGACTCATAGCGACCCCTCCTTGGGTTTCTGAGGCAGTATCACTAGGGAAGTAGATTGCCCCATCTTCCTTCCAAGGAGCGGCTGGTGGGTTTGAACTGCCAGCCTTCTGGTTAGCAGTCAAGTGCCTTAGGCACTATGCTACCAGAGCTCCTATACACACACACACGTGCATACACGTATTTCCTTAGTTACGATGTTAATAGGGAGCTCTGGTGGTGTAGTGGTTAAAGATTTGGCTGTTAACCAAAAGGTAAGCAGTTCAAACCCACCAGCTGCTCCATGGAAAAAAGATGAGGCAGTCTGTTTCCATAAAGATGTATAGCCCTAAAAACCCTATGGGGCAGTTTTTCCCTGTCCTATAGCATTGCTATGAACTGGGAATCAACTTGATGGCAGAGGGTTTGGTTTGGTTTAATGATGTTAATGCACATTACAATAAAATAATATGAATGTTTCCAAGTGTAAACCTAAAGCATTAGAAAATACATTGTGACATAATGGGGATATACCTTAAGATATTCACTGTATTCATCCTCAAACTTCTTGTTCCAGATACTGTTACCTCCTCTTCCAGTACCTATAAGACAAGCAAACCAGAAAAAGTACCTAATGAAAGTTGAAAAGGTTCTTTGGACTGGGGTGGGGGTTTAAGGGACCCTCATATATACTTTCACTTAAGGGCTAGTTTTAGGGGTAGATGCTAATAGCTTGTACTTAAAAATTTCTTGTTGTAGTAAAGTAGCCCAATTATAAAAACTCTACACACTTTTATTTTTGCATTCTTCTTGAATCTATACATCCAATCCCCTTGCTATTAATTAAAAGGATAGCTTACCTGTTGGATCTCCTGTTTGAACCATGAAACCCTTGATATTTCTGTGGAATATACAGCCATTGTAGTAATTACTGGCACAAAGAGCCAAAAAATTCTAGAGAACACAAATGATTGAGACATGATATAGCAGAAACATACTTAAGAATAAGAACCAATCATACTTATAAACCTTCACCAAGAACACAATAAAATATTTAAAAAAAAAGAAAAAAAAGAAAGAACCACTGATATTTATTGAAAATACTATAGGTGAATATTAAACTGATGTTTAGACATTACTTTGGATCATGTCACTTCCCTGCTTAAAATACTTCAATGCCTTCCTTCTGCTCTTGGAATGAAACATGAAATCCTCCACAGGGCCGAATAGGGCCTGCATGGCCTGACCGACCTCACATCTTATATGAGAATGCACCCTTCCCTGTTTCTTACTATGTTAAGCCCATCAGCCTTCTCACAATTCTCCCCAAAGTGGCAGGTTTTCCCACCTTAGGGCCCTTGTTTCTACTGTTGGTCTACCTGAAATGTTCTTTTTATATCTCTTTCCATGCAGATGTCTTCATTATCTATAAGACTCAGTTTAAGTAACACTTTTTAAGCTATGCCTGCCCTCACCTTCCTCAAATAGTTCTCATTATTCTCTATCCCAACACTTTCCTTCTTTCTTTCAAGGCATTATACCCCTCTAAAATTACTTAATTGGTGGCCCCTGCTAGAATTAAGTTCCACAAAGGCAAGGGCTATCTCTTGTCTGTCACTCTATCTCCAGACTCTGGCAAGATAGCCTTTCATAAATAACGAAATGAATGAGTATAAACCACGGACTCTTCTTTGTCATTTTAACAGGTGAAATAACACATAGAATGGTTCTTTTGCCTAATATCCTAATTATTCTCTTTTTTCTGAGGAAAATGGGTCAAAAGAAAAAGATGGCAGCCAATCTATGCTCGCTATTAGCTGCCATCAAGTCGACTCCACAGGGTTTCCAAGGCTGTGACCTTTGGAAGCAGACCACCAGGCCTGTCTCCCCAAGCATCTCTGGGAGGGTTCCAAGCACTAATCCACTGGCTAGTAGTTGAGTGCTTAACTGTTTGCGCCACACCTCTGAGCTTCGAGAAAAATCACCTGCCTGTTCTTTGATCTACCTTTGCTATCAGAAAAAGGAAAGGAAAGAAGGCCAAAAATTATGACGGTTGGCTCTTCCTAACCACGGTTTCACAGCAAAGTTTTTTCCTGGTATCATTTTAGGGTTAGCTGATCCAATTTCAGAATGGCTATCCTGGTGCATTAAACTCACTGTTTTATATGTAAATAATGGTACTCACCTCACAGGTTTTGGGTGTTCTCTCACAGAAGACTTCTATTTTAATATCCCCTACATCTGTATGCAATGTCACAGACTAAAAGGGAGAGAGAATTTGAAAACAAATAAGATTTCTTCAAGTGACTTTGTTGTTGTTGTTGTTATGTGCCGTCGAGTCGGACCCGACCCATAGCGACCCCTCCTTGGGTTTCCGAGGCAGTATCACCACGGAAGTAGATTGCTTCATCTTCCTTCCAAGGAGTGGCTGGTGGGTTTGAACTGCCAGCCTTCTGGTTAGCAGTCAAGTGCCTTTGCCACTATGCTACCAGACCTCCCTCAAGTGACTTTAGGTACTGTATTATTTTCCTGATTAGATATCTAAGATGACAATCTGAATAAATGCAGACAGAAAGAAATACAGTAACCTCCCCTTACCCAGTTTTGTTTTCTGTGGTCTCAGTTACCCGTGGTCAACCACAGTCCAAAAACATTACATAAGTAGTGTGATAAAATCTTGTGCCATCCTGCAAGATTACTGTGCCTGATTTATAAATTTAACTTTACTATAAGCATGGATGTGTAGGCTAAAACACATAGTATAGATAGCATTTGGTACTACTCGTAGTTTCAGGCATCCACTGGGGGTTTTAGAACATATTCCCTGCACGTGGCGGGGGGGGGGGGTGCTACTGTACTGCTTTCCAAGATGACCTGTTCACAAAGCAGCTCTGAGAGATGAAGAGTATTTCGAAAAAGACACCATAAGTCAAATGTAAATGTTAAGGTGAAAAGGTATCTACGCTAAAAGTTGGAAGCAAACATTGAGATGGAAATAATTATTTTACATTTGAATTTTGTCATCCATAAAAACAGTTGTTTTCGTAGAACAGAATTGAGAACCCAGAAATAGATCCATCGACCTATGGTCAGTGGATCTCTGACAAAGGGCTGAAATCCATTAAATGGGGATGAGATTGTCTCCTTAACAAATGGTGCTGGCAAAACTGGATTTCATTTGTAGAAAAATGAAACAAGATCCATACCTCACACCACACAGAAAAACCACTCCAGATGCATCAAAGACTTAAATGTGAAACCTAAAACTATAAAGTTCCTCAAGGGAAAAATAGGGGCAAATTTAGGGGCTCTGATTTATGGCATAAGCAGGCTGTCAAGCATAACCCAAAATGCACAAACACCAGAAGAGAAACTAGATGAATGAGACCTTCTAAAAATTAAAGTTTTATGCGTTTCAAAAGACTTCTCTAAAAGAATCAAAAGAGAACCTACTGTTTGGGAAAAAATGTTCAGCAATGACATATCTGACAAGGCACTTATCTCTACAATTTATAGAAAACTCCAACACCTCAACAATAAAAATCAAACAATCCAATTGAAAATGGGCAGAAGACAAGAATAGACACTTCACCAAAGAGGATATTCAGGTGACCAACAAACATATGAAGAAATGCTCACGATCATTAGCCATTAGAGAGATGCAAATCAAAACAACAATGAGATACCATCTCACTCCAGGACTAATGGCAAAGTTCAACAAGACAGAAAATAACTAATGCTGGTGAGGATGTGGAAAGATTGGGACTCTCATACACTGCTGGCAGGAATGTCAAATGATATAACCACTGTGGAAAGCAGTATGGCGAGTCCTTAAAAAGTTGGAATTAGAAATACCATTTGATCCAGAAATCCCATTATGAGGTACATATCCTAAAGAAGTGAGAGCCAGGACAAGAACAGATACATGCACGCCCATGTTCACTGCAGCACTATTTACAACAGCAAAAAGATGCAAACAACCTAGGTGCCCATCAACTGAAGAATGGATAAACAAACTATGGTACATACACATAATGAAATACTATACGACACTAAAGGATAATTATGTAGAATCTACAAAACACCGCACAGTGTGGATGAATGGGGAGACATCATGCTAAGTGAAATAAGTCAATCACAGAAAGACAAACACTGTATTAGTTCATTATTGTAAAAAATCAAGGGAAAGGTTCACATATGAAGGGAAACTTTGTTGGTTATCAGGGGTAGGAGGGGAGGGGAGGGAACACTGCAAAAATTAAAAAAAAAAAAGTCGTTATCTTGGTATTATTGATTTAAATGGCAAATCACTAATGTCATTAATATTCATTGAAAAAAGGTATAAAATGTTCAAAATACAGTGTCCGTCATTTCCCTTAAATAATTTCATGGTGAGGAACAGGGTTACAAATCAATTTTTTTCTCGACTAAGGACAACAAACATAAAAAGCATCAGTGTTTCTAGATCCTAAATGTAAAGGTAACCATTTTCTTGTTTGCTTTTTGTAGGGATAAAGTAGTATCCGTTGTCTTGATAGCTTGTATATTGTTCTGTTACTCCATTTCAGAAAGGGAGATAACTCTTTTTGAAGCTTCCCTTTTCATTTCTCTTCTCACTATAGTATCTACGAGCTAGGTGCCATGGCCAGGTGGCAGGCAGAGGATGGGGTGGGGGTAGGGGGCAGCACTATTCTCACTGCTTATCTTCCATTTCTGCTTGTCCACCCTAGATCCAAAGCAAAAGGGTCCAATTTAAAAATCATCATCCTTGGTTATAATCTTCTGCTCTTTCAACGCTCCCTCTCCATCTCTATCTATTTTGTAACCTTTCTGCATAAAAGGCAAATTCCGTGCATTTTAAGTGAAAACATTAAATAATTTAAAAATAATTTTGCTATTTTGTTGTTTTTGTTTAGAATCATTCTACAATGTATGCTTCCACATCCCATTGCTTCTCCAACTTGGTGCTGAAATTTTCATGCAATTTTATGTCCCTTGACTAAATTTCTAAAATTTGCTTATCATAATAGGCATTCATAAGAATTCTATAAAACTTACCATTCTTTTTGATGTTTCAGAAGTAGTTTGTTAATTTCTCACAGTGCTTCTGTGAAAGTGAGTCTATTCATGAAAAGAAAAAGAAATTAAGAAAAAAGAATTAAGTACTTTTTCTTCTTAACTAACACATACTTATCTTTACTGCATATTTACAAGCAAAAGCCTTGACTAGCATTCCCCACGTTATACAATCTGGTTACAGATGTGTTGAGGAAGCCCTATCCGATTCCAGTCACCTATTCTACTCTTTCGCTCACGGCGACCCCCACTGGGTTTCCAAGGCTATAAATCTTTAGGGAAGCAGACTTCCCCATCTTTCTTTCGCTAAGCAGCAGTGGGTTCGAACCACCCACCTTCAGGTTAGTAGCCAAATGCCTCAACCACTACACCACCAGAGCTCCTACGTACCCTATCCTTTCCTTAATTATTAAGTATGTCTTTCCAACACCACCTCAACCCTGAATGTTCATTCGAAGTATCTCAATAACTAAAATATTGCCTACCACACATCGCTCACCAAGCATTTGAATAAGTGAATGAAAGCGTTAATGACGTGGTCTGTACTTACTTCCCCACTCCAGTTAAGCACAGTTACTGCATGAAACAGAAAAGATGCAAGCGGTGATGTCGGCACAAGTCTGTTGGCTGGAAGATAAGAATTACTTTTGCATCACAGGAAATTCAGCGCGAGGCCCATTAGAGGGGACGCCCGCAATTCCCGCTCCAGCTCTTCGCCTACCCGCTTTAAACCAAATCGACTACAAATAGGGGGATTACGGAAGACGCTTAATAATTACACTAGGGCAAGAAATGTAAAGCGGAACTATTCCGAACTACCTCTAGAAGTGCCTTGGTAGCTGCTGTAAAAACGGGACGGACCACTTCCGATCCCGACCCCATCCCACAACGCTGGGAACGCCTGAGCAGCAACGGAAATGACGTACAAGGGGGCGAACCAGGACCCGTGAGTAGGGGACTAGTGTATTAAAATCCTCGTGGATCTTTGAGGAGTATCAGGCAGGGCCTTGGTAGGGTTGTCGTGTGATTTGGTGTTGATTCCGAGTCGTAGCAACCCAACGGAACAGAGTAGAACTGGCTTATACGGTTTCCAAGTCTGTAATCTTTACGGAAGCAGACTGCCACATCTTACTCCTGCAGAGTGGCTGGTAGGCTGAATAGCCAACCTTTCATTTAGCAACCGAGAGCTTCAATATTGCGCCACCAAGGCGCCTTTCAGTTTGGGTAGGCTGTGGTGGTTGGAGGAGCGTACAGAAAGGACGCGGAAGAGAAGATTGGGGTAGAGAAGTGGCCTGGGGCAGGAGAGCATAGGGCGGGGGTCCTGACTCCCGGGCTTACTAGCTGTGCCACCTGGCGTCTTCACTGCCTTGGAAAAGGCACTGCAGTGGGACTGGAATGCGGGGTAGACGAGGTAACATAAGAGGGAGCAGTTTGCAGGTTGGAAAGTGGGACATACCATTGTTAAACTTAACAATAGCATTCCGCTGTATGAAGGAATTCTGGTGGTGTAGTGGTTAAAGCATTTGACTGCTACCAGAACGTCGGTGGTTCGAACCCACCAGCCTTGCCGCGGAAGAGCGATGAGGCAGTCTGCTTCTGTAAGGATTTACAGCATTGGAAAGCCAATGTGTGGATCACTGTGAAACTGAATAAACTCGATGGCAGTGAGTTTGGTTTTTGAATGTATCCCATGATTCTGGCTGCTGATAGAGCACTTAAATCTTTTTAAATGTATTTTTTGGTAAAGCGCTTTTGCCAGTATATACCACCTTCACTCCTAATTCTGCAAGGAAGGAGGTGACTGTCACTCTGAGTGAACACTTAACCTGTCTATGCTGGTGATAACAGGAAACAGTTCTTGTTCTCAGATAGCTTTTGCAGACTGAGGGAGACAGGAATATAGCATCATGAGAATACGAAAGAGAAGCACTGAAAAGGAAGGTTTGGCAGGAAAAGCTTTAGGAAGTTAAAGTGGGCTTGTGTTGTTGTTGTTATGTGCCATGGAGTCAGCCCTGACTCATAGCGACCCCTCCTTGGGTTTCCGAGGCAGTATCACTACGGAAGTAGGATTGCCCAACCTTCCTTCTGAGGAGTGGCTGGTGGGTTTGAACCTCCAGCCTTCTTGTTAGCAGTCAAGTGCCTTAGCCACTACGCTACCAGAGCTCCCAAAGTGGCCTTAGAAGGAAGGAAAACATTTAGGGAAATGGAGAAAGGAGGAAGGTGCTTGAGGGCAGGGGTGAGGAGAACAAGAGCAAGTGTGCGTGTGTGGGGTGAACATTTGTGTATTAAGTACTAGGCTTGTGCTACATGTTTTATTATATTCATTCACTTGGTTCCCTGGTGGCCTGTGAGGAAGATTGTACTATCTCCATTTTGCAGAGCAAATAAGCTCAGAGAAGTTAAATGACTTGCCCAAGATACCATGTACTGGTACATGGCAAAGCCAGTATTTGAACTCAGGTCTGTCTGACTGCAGCACTTTTGCCCGTGTGCTTTGCCCTAGGCCGCAAAGGCCTAGGCCTAATGTGTACGTGTGTGCCTTTTTCTGTTTTTGTCATATCAGATACTCAACTTAAACTGATCTCTGTATGTTGTCATCTGGTGTACACCTGGTCTCCAGGAAGGTCTGGCCAATCCATTCTCTGATCTACAGTTCTTCCCGTTCCTTCATGGATTTGAAAACTCTCCTTTCCTCCTTGAATGACTTTGCATCCCTCTCATTTGCTGAGAGTTGGGACAATGTTGGATTATTAGTAGAGCCAAGCCCACCACATACTGTGAATACACTCTTCCTAACCAACGACTTGACCGAGGAAGTGATGGAGGAAGCACTGCAAAAGAAGGCGGATCTCATTCTGTCTTATCATCCACCCATTTTCCGACCTATGAAGCGCATAACCTGGAAAACTTGGAAGGAGCGCCTGGTGATCCGGGCTCTGGAGAACAGAGTGGGAATCTACTCTCCTCACACAGCCTATGATGCTGCTCCCCAGGGAGTCAACAGCTGGTTGGCTAAAGGACTGGGTGAGAATCCTCTTGTTTCTTTGTATTTAATCCATACAAATACTTAGAAAATTCAGAATATCTAGTAGGTGGCATGGTGCCTAAGGCATTTGACTGCTAACCAGAAGGCTGGTAGTTCAAACCCACCAGCCACTCCTCGGAAGGAAGACGGGGCAATACTTCCGTAGAGATACCGCCTCGGAAACCCAAGGAGGGGTCGCTTTGAGTTGGGATTGACTCTACAGCAGTGAGTTTGGTTTGGCTTGGTAGACTTTTAACTGCTTTAGGGGTAAAATATTATCCTATTTTTACATAATATATTTCAAAAGAATGTAGCTAAAAAGTAATGTTGCTGAAATCTGGCAATTAAATTGCATTTGAAAAAGGAAATAATTCTATCTTTAATGAATAAGGAGAGCATTGAAAGTCTTAATTGCTGCACTGAGTTTCTTAATTATCCATTCATGTGGTATAGTGCTTCAAACCTAAGCACTCAAAAAATGCTTGTTAAATTGTATTGAAAGCTCAGGCCTCTTTGAAATACATTTCATCTGTCAGTCAGATAGACATTAGGGTTTTATTGAATGCTTACTTAAGGCCACCACAATGGGGAAATTCTGCATTAGTGTTCTAGCTTCATTTTTTTTTTTTTTATTAGGATTTGGGTGAAGATTTACAGAGTAAATTCACTTTTCATACAGCAGTTCACATATACTTTGTCTCATGTCATTGACCAAAATTTACAATGCAGCAGCTCCCCTCCCACTTCCTCCCCATAGTTACCTCCTCCCAGTGTCCATCCCTCCATACTGGTCTGCGCCCTGAGCTGTCTCCCTGTGCATAAGCAGCCCTTCCTTCTCCCATGATTGTTCTCTCCAGGGCGTGTGTCTACTTGAGGTAAATGTTTAACTCACATGCCTGTACTTTGTTTGGCTGGAAACCACAGTTGTGGGTTCAATTCCAGACCCGAAGGGCAACTAGGGGCCATAGTCTCAGTGGTTACACCAGGCTCCATTGGACCAGCAAACCTGGTCCCCACCTTCTTCTTCTTCTTTTTTTTTTTTTGCCTCCAAACAATTTTGAGTTTTGTACCACATTGTTCTCCCTCTTTATGTAGGATCTCCTACATCCCTTCCAAGTGGATGGCAGTGGTAGCTGGGCACCATCTAGTTCTTCTGGTCTCATAGTTGTATAGGTTGCAGATCGGATGGTGTACCAGTCGCTAGGACTGATTGTTTCCATTAATTTTGGTTTTCTTCTTTCTTCTTGACGAGGAGAGACCCGTTGTTGCATCTAGATGGCAGCTTCCTAGCTTTTAAGTAGCTGGGGTCGCTACTCGCCAAAGTAGTAGGTGGAACAATGTTTTGTATAGTATGTTATGCCAATTGAGCTTAATGTCCCCTACGACTATGGTCCCAAGCCCGCAGGATCAACTACTCAGTCCCTCTGGGTAGCTGGCTGTGACCAAGTAATGACCATAACCTTGCCCCTTGTCAGCTCTACTATACACCTGGGAATTCTGATCATTCACATGAACTTATAGGCCCATTGTCTGCCAACCCTATATATGATCTTGGATACACTCTCCATTTAGACATACCTAATTGTTTAGCTTGTTCACCCATCTATCTGTCCCTATACCCATGTTTGCTTTCACTGACAACTCAGTACTGTATGTGCAAAGGGGTTCATATTTGTTGTCTGTACTGCCCATGTAACTCTCTATGTCTTTCTCATCCTCAATGCTGCCATATTGGTCACTCACATTTGGTACATTGCCCTTCTCTTCACCCAAATCAATATTTATCTCTATCTATCTAACATCTAGCTTCATTTTAATAAATCTTTTTCGTTTACTCATTTTTGGTGGAAGTATTTATAATCTGGATTAATGTGGCCAAACAAGTTATGAGATTTGCAGCCTGAATCAGGGTTTATATGAGATTTACCAAGCAGTAGAAAATTCTGCACTTTATTTATTTATGTATTTAAAAATTCTGTATATTTAAGACTCCATGAGTCAGTCTATCTTGTCTAAGTATTTTTGATATTTAAGAGGCTTCTGGAAAATAAATTTGATTTTGTTTATCCACACTAAATCCCACAGGAGCTCTGGTGGTGTAGTGCCTAAGGCACTTGACTGCTAACCAGAAGGCTGGTGGTTCAAACCCACCAGCTGCTCCTCAGAAGGAAGATAGGGCAGTCTACTTCCGTACTGATACTGCCTCGGAAGCCCAAAGAGGGGTCACTATGAGTTGGATTCAACTCGACGGCAATGAGTTTGGTTTTTTTGGCTTATACTAAATCCCTAGATTATGAAGACCATTGGTGGGTAGGTGTAGTACAGAAGCAAATGAAAATCTTCAAACAAACAAACAGTTACAACTAATTTCTTGTACATTTTGCCCATTATAGTGTATCTTACTTTATTATCTTAAGGATAAAAAAAAACAAAAACTCCATTCTCCCACATTTTTTCTCTTAGGAGCTTGTACTTCCTGCCCCATACATCCTTCCAAAGCTGCCGACTACCCCACAGAAGGAACACATCGAGTAGAATTCAACATTAACCACACCCAAGACCTGGATAAAGTCATGTCTGCAGTCAAAGGCATTGCAGATGTTTCTGTCACTTCTTTTTCTGCTAGGTACTATATATATATTTTGTGTGAAGTTCTTTTTGACAAATTCTATAATCCTGGTATTTAATTTCAAACAAATTGTTTTCCCCCAGGTTTGGTTTACAAGGTGAACTTGTCATTTGCCTGTGTGTCCTAATGGAGAAGTATGAAATCTTCAAAACAATGAAAATGACAAGTAGCTACTCGAGTACTTTAAATGTGGCAGGGAGTATACTGTGCATTTATAGACAGTATTTCACAGCCTCAAAGTAATGTTGAAAGGTATTTGTTTTACTTTATAGAATGCAAATAGACCCTAGTGATACATTGATGAATGCAAGATTTTTTTTTTAAGGCAATTTTATAACTTTATTTGATAATCAACTGTTAGTTTTCACCCACATCGACTGTAGGCTTTTGAAAGTCATTACAGTTATACATAGGTAAGCAGTGCACCAAGCTTGTTTGGTGAATCTTTGTTCTCATTACACTTCATAGACAGTGATACACAGATATAATATGGGACAGTCCTTATTCCTTTGGCCCAGACAGCTTTGGTGAGCCTGGTGGCCATGTGCACATCTGATGTTCCCATCTCCTTAATGGCAAATTTCCAACTCTCCTTGAGTGCCCAAGAGGCGTGCTTTTTTTAAAAACATTTTTTATTGTGATTTGGGTGAAAGTTTACAGAGCAAATTCACTTTCCATACAGCAGCTCACAGACACTTTTGTCTCATGACGTTGACTACAATTTACCACAATGCAACAGCTCCCCTCCCACTTCGTCCCCATAGTTACCTCTTCCCTTTGTCCTTTCCTCCCATGCGTTCTTGTCCCCTGAGCAAGAGGCATGCTTCTTGAAGCCCACTCCATGGATGCATTTGTGAATGTTCATGGTGTCCTTCCTGTGTTACAGGAGTGGGACCCCATGAAACCCAAATGGGTTCTTGTTTTCTGTTGAGAAAGAGTTGCTTGCAGAGACAGGTGGTTTATAGAGAGCAAGCCTTTAATGAAACCCTGCACGGGACTGTACAGTGGGGCAGCAACCAAACATACTGTGCTTGCTGGACTGCCAGCGTTTCCCAGTTGGCTGACGGTAATTATAGGGGACAGAATGAGGCAGCCATGCAATTAGCAAGTCACATGGGTGGGATTCCTTGCTTCTGATGTTCCAGTCCTCCAGACTAATCCAAACCAAAATCCAAACTCCCTGCCATCAAGTCAGATCCAACTCATAGTGACCCCTCCTTGGGTTTCCAAGGAGGTATCATTACAGAATTAGATCGCCCAACTTTCCTTCCAAGGAGTGGCTGGTGAGTTTGAACCGCCACCCTTCTGGTTAGCAGTCAAATACCTTAGGTACTACACCACCAGAGCGCCCAAGACACTCTAGCGAAGATAATTAAGTCAGTGTTCTGTCACAACTGCGGCCTGCCTTCTGACCTTAAAGTAACAGTTTATGCTTCTAGGATTTACAGAGGCTCAACAGGAATGAAGTGAAGATTTCGGTGAAGTCTTATTTGGGGCTGTATCAGGAAGTCAAGGAGCTCTTGTAGCATAGTGCCTAAGGCACTTGACTGCTAACCAGAAGGCTGGGGGTTCAAACCCACCAACCACTCCTCAGAAGGAAGGTTGGGCAATCTACTTGTGTAGTGAAACCACCTCAGAAAACCAAGGAGGGGTCGCTATGAGTCGAGTCCGAATCAACAGCACATAACAGTAACACCATCAGAAGATCATAACTGAGGCTTGGTTAATTGGTGTTTTGTATCACCTTGGTTAGAGTCATGAGGTAGTTACAGGCTCTATATTAACATTATCAATAATGATCTTATTTCCTAACCTGGGAGGAGGAAGAGGGTGCATGCTTGAGAAAGGCTTTTTTTTTAAAAGACAAAACTGAGTAAACATCCTAAACAGGCACTTTTGACAAACAGTTCTTTACCCAAGGGAGAAATTCTGACTCTTGCCCTCTGTTTTACAAGCATTTAAACTTTGACAAAAAGATTAAATTATTTTTTCAGCAAAATCAGAAGTTTCTAGGTCAGATCTGCAGTTAGATCCAAATGAGATTTCAACTTAAGCCTGAAGTCGCCCATTCTTAGTTATGCTAGCACCTCAGTTTTAAAATTCACATGCAAAAAACACAGAGGAACATGAAGAAATGCAGAGTTCTGTTAATTAATGCTTTGCTTTCTTAATGAGATGGCATGCTGTATTTGCCCCTTTAACTCAACAAGATGTTTTAGAGATCTCTCCATGGAAATATATTAGATCTCATTTTTTTAAAACTGCTTTGCAGTGTTTCTTACTGTGGATGTGTTGTAATTTAAGCATTCACGTTTTCCATATTACATTGTTTTGCTCACGTCTTACCATTGATTGGAGTCCAGACATTTTTTTTGTCCAAAGTTCCACAGATAATTCTAATGTTGAAAACGACTCTTCCAAATTACCTTCATGATGTCATTTAGTTCTAGAATTCTGCTATTTTGTGTAGAGTTCATGGTCAAATATAAAATGCTTTTGGTGCCAATCTTTTTTTTACAGCCTCTACAGCATTGCTTTTGGGAGGACTCCTGTGTCATTGTTCGTAGGATGCTTATTAGAAATGCAGATGTGGGCTTCATTCTAGAGCTGTGTAATTAGAATGGGGTTTGTCTAAGAATCTTCATTTCAAAAAGCTGCCCAGGAGATTTTTGTGTTCAATAATGTTTGAGAATTAGAGTCTTCTCCAGTCTGACCGAGAACTGAATCAGAAACTGGGGTGGAGCAATCTGTGTTTCAGTAAGTCCTCCAGGTGTTTCTGATAGACACTAAAGCTTGAGAACCACTATTCTAGAAAATAGATTTGTTTGGGATTGAATGGGTTTTATTGGTTAAATACCTAGAGCCATACAAGCTTAATGTGCTATTATAGTAGGTTTGTAAACTGGATTATTTAAAATACAGTTTGTGTGTGTCTGTCATAACCAAGGAGGCATTTCCCCCCAGGACTGATGATGAAGAACACACACGGATCAGTCTGAATTGTACTCAGAAGGCTCTGCTGCAGGTGGTGGCTTTTCTCTCCCAAAACAGACAACTTTATCAGAAGACTGAAATTCTGTCACTGGAGAAGGTAGTGAAAATTCTTTTTACTTGGTCTTACATTACCGTACGTTTTTGTTCAGTACATTCACTTGTAGATTGTTAGATCAACAGACCATTAACCATTACCTAAAGAAGCACAAAGAGAGCATAATAAACCTTAGAAAACATACTGAGGAAGGGAGACATTACAGGAATAGGAAAATGTTGGTGTTCATCCACAGTTACAGACTGAGACTCTCTTACATCCTCTGCTTTGAAGTTTTCTTTTTGTTTTAATTTTTAAAAAATTAAAATTGTGACTTATGTACAAATTTATGAAGCAGATTCCTTTTACTCTTAAGAGTTCACGCACATTTGGTTTTCCATCCCGATAATAATCCCAACCATAAGAAGCTCTCCTCCCTGTGACCACCCCTGCCTGTGCCCTTCTTATCCATGCAGTCCTGTCTGTCCAGCTTCCCCTCTATGCAAATGCTGCCCTACTGATGGCCCACGGTTCACTGATCTAGGGAGTACAATCTCCCTACGGTAGGGGGCTGCATCTCCCAGGGGCAGGGGTTCTGCTCATAGGTCTTTCTGCTGTTTGGCTGAGAGTTAATCCCTGGAAGTGGGTCCAGTTCCAGGCCCAAAGGATAACCTGGGGCCATAGTCTTGGGGGTTCTACCAGTCTCTATCTTACCAGTAATTCTGGTCATTTTTATGCTTTTGAATTTTATTCCATATTTTGTCTCCCACTATCCAGGATCTCCAATTTTGATCCTTTACTGAGTGGTTGGCATTGGTAGCCAGGCACCATCTAATTCTTCTGGTCTTAGGGTTGTGAAGGTCCCTGGGTCCATCATATCCTTGGACTTAGTGTTTGCAAATGATTTTTTCTTTATTCTTCTTTATTCCACATGAGGGGAGACTAACAGTTGCATCTTACATGGCTGCTGGATAGCTTTTAAGGCCCCAGTGCTTGGACCTTTTCATTCGTTCCTTTAAGTTGACAGCCATACATGTGATGATGAGTCCTACATCTTTACTTTCTGGCTCAGAATGCTTTCTTAATGTAAGCAAACAAACCCATTTCCAACATTTCCAATACTTTTCTGAACGTTTTCCACTTAAAGACCCCACAGATATCAAAAATCCAATAAATTAAAAAAAAGACTTCGTGTTTTAGTCTTGCTTCCTCTTCCCACCCCTTTAAATCTTTTCTTTTGTTATTTTCTGTTTCATTGGTGGCATGATAATCTATCTTATTTTTCAAATTTTCACAATGTTTCTCCTGCCCAAGGTCCAAGGTCCAAGGTCTGCTAATTCTGTCCCCAACTGTATTAAAATGTTTCTCATCTCTATTAGCTCTGCCACCACATTAATTGAAACTTTCATCTACTCTCACTTGGAATATTAATAGTCTCTTAACTGGTCACCTACAGGAGACAGTCCAGGCTTTTTAGCATAGCATAAAAAACTGAAACCAAACTCATTGCCGTTGAGTCAAATCCACTCAGCGATCCCTCCTTGTGTTTCTGAGGTGATGTCTCTATAGAAGTAGATTGCCCAGTCTTCTGAGGAGTGGCTGGTGGGTTTGAATTGCCAGCCTTCTGGTTAGCAGTCAGATGCATTAGGCACTATGCCATCAGAGCTCCCTGTTGTTGTTAGGTGCCGTCGAGTCGTTTCCAACTCATAGCGACCCTGTGCACAGCAAAACGAAACACCACCCGATCCCACACCAGCTCCATGATCCTTGCTATACTTGAGCCCATCATTGAAGCCACCATGTCAATCCATCTCGTTGAAGACCTTCCCCTCTTTCGTCGACCCTCCATCTTACCAAGCGTGACATCCTTCTCCAGGGAATTGCCCCTTCTGACAACATGACTAAAGTAGGTGAGGTGAAATCTGGCCATTCTAGCTTCCAAGGAGCATTTCAGCTGCACTTCCTTCAGGACAGATCTGTTACTTCTTTTAGCAGTCCATGGTACTTTCAGTATTCTTCACCAGCACCACCACTCAAAAGCATCAACTCTTCTTCAGTCTTCCTTATTCATTGTCCAGCTCTCACATGCATATGAGGAGATTGAAAATACCATGGCTTGTGTTAGGCACACCTTAGTCCTCAAGGAGACATCCTTGCTCTTCAGCACTTGAAAGAGTTCCTTTGTAGCCAGCTTGCCCAGTGCTATACATCATCTGGGAGCTCTGGTAGCGTAGTGCCTAAGGCACTTGACTGCTAACCAGAAGGCTGGTGGTTCAAACCCACCAGCCACTCCTTGGAAAGAAGGTTGGGCAATCTACTTCTGTAGTGATACTGCCTCGGCAACCCAAGGAGGGGGCGCTATGAGTCGGGTCCGACTCAACGGCACATAACAACAACAACAACAACATACGTCATCTAATGTCCTGACCGCTGCTTCCATTGGCTTCGATTTTAGAACCAAGCAATGTGAATTCTTTGACAATCTCAATCTTTTCTCTATTTATCATGATGCTGCTTATTGGTCCACTTGTGAGGATTTTTGTTTTCTTAATTTTGAGATATAATCCATACTGCAGACTGTATTTTTCAGTCTTCATCAGTAAGTGCCCCAAGTCATCCTCACTTTCAGCAAGCAAAGTTGTATCATCAGCGTATCTCAGGTTGTTAATGATTCTTCCTCCAATCCTGATGCCACATTTTTCCGCATATATTCCTCTTCTCGGATTATGTGCTCAGCATATAGATTGAATAAGTATGGGGAAAGGATGCAATCCTGACACACTCCCTTCTTGATTTTAAACCATGCAGTGTCCCCTTGTTCTGTTCAAACGACAGCCTCCTGGTCAATGTATAGGTTCCTCATGAGTATAATCAAGTGCTCAGGAATTCCCATTCTTCTCAGTGTTACCTGCAATTTGTCATGATCCACACAATCAGATGCCTTTGCACAGTCAATAAAACACAAGTAAACATCTTTCTGGTATTCTTTGCCTTGAGCCAAGATCCATCTGACAGCAGCTATGATATCCCTTGTTCCACGTCCTCTTC